AGGGGGTCTGGAATATCAACGGGGGCTAGGGTCTGGATTGCAAGTTCGCGCATAAGGAATACAGCGAGGGCTACAGTATTCCAGACCCACCAAAAAGGTCTGAATTGCCGTGCTGGGGGAAGTACCCCCCTTAACTGACGGGATGCGATCCCTACAGAAGGATTCTGTAAAGTGACTTGCAGTCAGGGGTGTGCATGACAACCCGAGGCTGCGTGGTGCGGCGCGGAGTTTGAAGATGCGATGAAGACAGCAGGTGTGTATGTTTCCTGCGGGAATCTGTTCTGGGCAAATGTTCGTGCCTTGACCTGTGCAAAAGTGCCCATCAATGCTGCCAGCTTGCAGAAGATCCGGCAAACCTTTTTTCAACAAGGGCCAGAAAAGCTAGGCCTGGAAGTGGTCGTGGGCCTGCCAAAGAACTGCGACCAGGCCAAGTTTACGTCTCTTCAAGGCAACTTGCTCCGCATCTCGCCCGAGGAGGTAGACCACGCCTTGATCTTGCATGTGGCTGCCCGGATCACGGCGGGAGCCAGCGAAGCGGAGTTGCTGCAACTTGCTTGCGTGTAGCATGCGATGAAGCCCGAACGCTTTTTTTGGGTTAAGGTCTTCAGTTGTGTATTGAGCCAACCGAGGGCTTGGCGCACGGTCTTCCTGTCCATCTCCCTGCGGTGTGAGATCATCGAGACCAAGGAGGCTGCCTTCTTCAGACAGCTGCAGCTGCGGCAGCGCTTCATTGCTACCTACGAGGCGTGCGCACGGTCGACCGTGCAGACAATCTTCGAGATTGCTGCATTGAAAGAAAGCCACGAGACGCTGCGCACGTCCTCATTGGCCAGGTCGGAGCTAGCGGAGCTGTGGGTGAAGAAGACCTACGACCTCCAGGATGAGGACGACATGGAAAAGTCAGCCTTCGAGTTCGTGGATAGCGCCATGAAGGTGTACGAGCGGATGCTCTCTGATGGCGACCTGTTCATGAAAATTCACGCCATGGAGCTCAAGTTCGGTAAGAAAAGTTGCTGGAGACACATGAGCACTCTGGAAGCGGTGGTCATGAAGTGCAAGAAGAAATCCGAGATGCTCTGGGTTTTGGCAACAATCGAAGACCTGTTGCTTCGTGGTGAGGCCTCCAACACGCAGTTTTCGAGCCGCAGCTTGAAAGGGGCCAGAACGGGCGGTGGCTCCCGAGGGTTGATGGATGAATGGCTTGCCAAACGCAGTATCTTGGATTGGGTCCTGGCCGATGCCGGGACCCATGGACTGCCCTCTGACATGTGCCTGTCCCTGCAGAAGATCTTCGCGTCCCATGCCGATGTTCGGGCGAAGTTCCTGGGTGATGAAATACTGTAATTGCTCTAATCTAAGCAAATCAAAGCACACTCTTGCACTAGCACACTTGCAGTAGACCCCGGACCGACAGCAGAGTGGTGCGAGGTTCTGCGGCGACGCCGACTTGTCGTGGCTGGGGCAGCTCCATGAAGTGGAGCGCCTGCTCATCGACTTCTTGAGGAAGGTCGTGTTTGGGTCCCAGTACGACGGCAATCTTCGCAATGTTCTCAAGGGCGCGACGAAGGCCGAGGACCTGCTTGCCAGCGAGCCTTTTAAGGCGCTGCTGGATCGCATCCACGAGGAGCTGGCCAAGATGGTCCTGGCGGGCAACGACGAAGCGGACGAAGAAGATGCGTCTGAGGCAGGCCGGCCGGTTCTGCATGAGGTCCTTGGAGAGATTCTTGCAGAGGACGGCTCTGATGCGGCGGCTGAGCTGATGACCTTGGCCAAGCAGGCGGAGGAGCTCGTGGACCAGTTCGTCAAGCTGGTCGTCGAGCAAGACTCCAACGTGGCCATGGTGGCGGTCATGCAAAGCTGCCCTGCATCCCAGACACCCAAGCGCGCCATCTTGATCTACGACAGCAAGTGCGCAGGCGAGGCGACAGCGCAGCCGCATGTCAGAAGGCCCCAATTCCGCCGGGACCATTTCGGCAAAGTGCTGAACGCATTCTGCCAGAGCCGCGGGGCGGACCAGCTCTCGGAGAATGACCTGCTGCTCTTTTTCGACGGCGGCCGGCAGCTGGCGCCCATGATGTTGTCGTGCTGCGTGAGGCAGGGCGGCGATGAACATCATGGCCGGCACTTCGACAACAAGACACGCGTGGAGCTCATGATCCACTATGATGAAAGCTCCATGCGAGCTAGAAAGTGCCTTCAACGTGGC